GGTACTGGAGCTACAAGTTAATTTTGTTCTGTTGAGTCTTTAGATGTAAGAAGTATAATCAATATTGCTTTTTTATGTGGTTCATTTTTTTGAGCTAAGTTATTTAAGTGGCTGAAAAGTGCAACACAACATTTCAGATTGTTCAAAGAATGGGTAAGAGTAGAAATTATGTTAAGATGTTTCTTCTACAAACAAAGAAATCAGTATAAAAAGTGGAGAATTTAAGTTGTACAAGTACAGTAGAACAGTGTATGCCTGCAGTGCTACCAGAATGAGTTGCTACTTGGAAAATATCCAAGCAAACTTAAGACTTTTTTTCAGTAGTATACTTGTATAACAGAGCCAAATAATGTTAATGAAAATGGAATAGATAATTTTAGTAAAACCTCCACATCTTATAAAGAAGATATATTAGTTAGGATCACATGCTACCTCACTCTAACCAAATAACCCCATTCCAATTCATTGAAGTTCCAGGGAAGTTTATTGACTTTATGATAACAGAGCAACAAAATCATGCATGGGAGTTGAAAGCAAAATCATTATATGCTACAAGCATAGTACTGATATAATGTTCGTACTCCCTTTTGCTTTGGAATTAAATTTTTTAAATGTTGATCAGTTTTTATTGTTGGAGAAATTGAACAGACCCAGTTAATATGGTTTATATATGGAACAGAAGTCTATCATATAATCTTAATTCTAAATCTATCATATAATCTTAATTCTAAAGCTAGGGATCCGATGCAAAACTAATGAGCAACATGTTGCTTTAACATCTGTTTCAAGTGACTCATGAAATTGTATTTTACACCAATAGCAATGAAATTATATAGTTGAGTTGCTTTGTCATGCACTTAGGTATCTTTGGAAATGCACCACAAGAACTGCTTGTAGTCAAGTCATGTAGGCCAACAAGTCAGTAGTGTGACTCTCATTTTGTTTTTAGTTTTGAATGTGAATTGCAGCATAAAAAGCAGGGCTTTCAAATTAAGATCAGTTAGAAGATACTTTATTAATTCTAAATGTGCAAAATATATTTTGCAAAGAAATGTTTTAAAGAATTTGGAGATTTATTTATTTTTGGAACTTCTTTATTTGTAACTAGTATAGGTAAAAGTACTGAGTACTGGCCAAGTTAATACTTTGAAACCACTGCAAAAGGTTGGGGGACCCCTATATTAGAGCTTTCCTATGATTCACAAGGAGGTATTATCCAATTTACATGCACTTAAATAATCTGAAATATTACTTTTTGCTCATGGTTGATAAAATATTCAAGGTTATGAAAGAAAATGGTTTTCCAAGCTTCTTTAGTGTCATAACAGACATTATCACCTTTATGAAGGCAACCTAGCAGTTACTTCAGTGGAAATATTCTGACTATCTCAATATTCAAGGTTATGAAAGAAAATGGTTTTCCAAGCTTCTTTAGTGTCATAACAGACATTATCACCTTTATGAAGGCAACCTAGCAGTTACTTCAGTGGAAATATTCTGACTATCTCGGAGCCTTCTAAAACTGTATCATTCGTATCTTGAACCTTTTCATAGATGACATTATGAATTTTAAGATATGCGGCTTAATTGAGATGCAACATAAAGAGACTATTTTCATCTCCTGAAAACACTGTTCACAAACATCCAGAAGGAGAAATGACTAAATGTTTCACTTAATTTGTAGTGAAAAAAATGTTTGGCTCGATTTTGCATTTCATCACAAATCTCTACCAATTTGCTCTCCAGGTCTTAGCATTCTTGAAGAAGCCATATCTTCATAGACAGTAGCCAATTCCTGATTTGTAGACAGTAACATCTGGATTAAAGCTTAGAAAATGCATAAGACTTCAGAACCTTTTACTAAATAAATCATCTTTGAGTCAGATACCCCACAATTCAGACTTGCTCCTCAAGATATGTTTTCAGTAATTTTTCACAAGTTCTGAACAGCTAAGCAATCTAATTTCCTAGATACTGACTCTGAAGACAAGTCCTGCAAGCTTGAAAGAAACATAAAGAACTTTGCACTTCACTCAGTTCACATGACTTCCATTACTCTTGATCCTGTCTACATGGAAAAGGGTTTTTACATGGAAGAGGAGATGATGGAGCATCCCAATTAGAGAAGGTTGCAGATACCGTGTATCATGTTATCAAAATAGATATACTATTTTCCTAGGTTTATAACAAAAAAAGAGGGTTTATGAGTGTTCAAATTATTAACAAATAATCAGTTTGTAATGATTTACAACAAGTACTTATCTATCCATACTTTATTTCATTTTAAAATACACTGTAAACATTTAATATAAAATACAACCTTCGTGTATTCACAGGCATACCAAAAAGTATAAATTATTGCTTTGGTTGATGTTAATGTTTTGTTATTGTTGTTTTTAATTACTGGTCATTTTATATTAGTAAGCAATATTATGCATCATCATTATAGTCATTGTTAGATTTTGATATTCAAAGAAAATTAAGAATCTCTTAAAAAATTCTCTGAAATTATATGTTTCATTTATTAGAACCAGTGGCTGCAAATGTGAAACTTTAATTAGATATATTTATGAAATTATAGATTCTGCAATAGTCACATGCAAGTGGCTGGAATACTTCCAAAGAAAGAACGTAAAACTAAGAAGGAGAAGGAGAGTGTTCCATCAGATGGAAAAGTGAAGTTTGCAGATCGACTTAGGGCTCTTCTAAAAAAGGAAAATAGTGAACTTCCAGCAGAAGATACTTTTAATGCAGATGATCCATATGCCTTCCCAGAACCTTTCCAGGAGAAAGAAAGTGTAAATACTGGATCTAAAACTTTTAATTCAAAACTTCTGTCAGAGACAATAAATACTGATATTTCCTTGAAAGGAGAACAACTTCAAAACAGAGGCAGTATTTCTGATAATAGATCAAAATTTAACACTCCAAAGTTATCTAAAACTATGAACAGACTTCAAGCAAAAATTGCCCAGAACAAATTTTTAGATAAATTGAAAAAAGCACAGGATTCTAGTCAGCAAATCTTATGTTCCAGTTCTATTAAAATACATGAAACTAAATTAAACTCACAGTCAGTACTGCCTGTTTCTGCTTGTAAATTAAACACCTGTGTACAAATGG